CTTCTTGGTGATCTTGGATGCTACTTGGGGGAACTCACTCTAATAGATTCACTCTTCTTGGGCAAAAACCTGAGCTTTGATCCTCTGGAGCCACAGGAACTATGTGATGGTTCTGCAAAGACTTTTCCCTGTTGCAGCCTGGAACAGATGTGATGCCCCTCAGTCAGAAGTGGGGGGTTTATTACTTCCAAAAGAAAAAGACTAACTAAAGCATAAGATTAGGTACTGGGGAACTGGGACTCTTTTCTGTCCCTTTCCTAACACACTTCAAAGTGACGGCTACTAAGTTTCTAAAGGAATCATTGCTCCTACGTGCCAAGTTTAACTCTTCAGTTTAAGATATCCAAGATGTGACTTTCAGACATGCTGTGCACTAAGTAAAAATCTCATTTTCCCCTCTAATCCCACCTTGGAATTACTCCTCATTAGTCTTGCATGGATTTTCACCAGCATCCTCTGTGCCACAATCCTGTTTACTGCTCCTACCCAACACTTCCTTATATTGGCAATATGACCTGAAATCTCAGCAGAGCCTGCTTTCCTCTCATCCAAATTGCCAGCAGGTCTCAAAAGTTGTTTTTCTAGCATCTTCCTGTTTCAGAATATGTCCTAATGCTGCTGGCAACAGAACAAGTGAGACTTGGAACTTCCCTTGAGTGCTAATCACAACTTACAGTTGCCTCATTGCAACTTCTCTCACATCCCATTTTAATTCCACTGTGTAAAACCTTAGCATGCCTGTTTCCTTCTGTGGAGCACACGTATACAAAGCCTTATGTCAAAAGGGACCACTAAGTCAGTGCTGAGACTATGTGAGAATTAGCATCGCTTCTGCAGCTGTAATTTGCCCCCTTTGATGTTTCTATATTGTGATTCAAGTTTTAATTATGTGATTCCATGTTATTTTTCTGTAAGACTTCCTCCATCCATCACCAGTGAAAGTAAGGTGAGGTATTGAAAGAAGCCATTGTAGAAACTGGAAAGCAGAGAGAACAAAGAGACCATTGGAAGAAGAAGAATATTCTACAAGTTAAAGTTGAATGCTACACTGGAGAATTCAATTCCATCCTTCATTTGCCAAATAATTCCTATGTGATTCTAGAAGAGTCATGTACAGCTGCAAACTGAAGTCAGTGTTTAGCTTTTCATGGTAACGTGAGCTATAAAATTAAGTGCTTTATAAAAAGTCTAGTCCCAGACATCTCCACTTAGACACCAAAACAAACCTTACCTTAACGTTAGTCTTTGTGTCTTGAGCTCTCATTTAGAAAACAGAAAATAGCTGTTCCTTATGTCAGCCAACAATGTGAAAGTAATGGGGGTTTAAAGCATCTTTTACTGTAGTGGTATCATAAAGAGAGTGAAGACATTTAAGTGATTGGCTACTCTAAGTAGTGCTTAGATAGCATGAAGTGATAGGATACAGATCTGCCATCGAGTAGTGAGGAAAACATAGTCAGAAGTTACATGTTTAATTAGTACCCTTCACCCTCTGTGAAAAAAATAGTGTGATCACATCGTTACAGGCCATAATGTACTGCACATACAGAGAAAAAAATCACAATTGTATGAAAATGAATTCTGCTCTCAAAATAAGTGCTTGCTTCAAAGGCTAAAAATGGTCTTTATGTGAAGGAGGTCAAGGAAAATGGAGGGTTGTACGCAAGTCATTGGCTTAGTTTGTAACAAAGCATTCTGGAGAAAAAGAGAAATCCCAGTTTCACCACATGATATCACAAGGCCCATCAGAGTTGCTGTAACTGGATCCACAGCACAGTCCTTTGCCACTTGTGCTAATGAAATGTTTGCCACCAGTAGTAGATGACTGTCAGCTTTTACAGTAACTGACCCTACAGAGGAAGCAGGGTAAGCTTGCTCACTTTTCAGGCAGGCTTAACTCCAGCCTGTTGCAAGAGCTCAATGAGAACAGAACAGAGACTCTTCCACTGTCTGACTTTAACCTAACCAGGGGCCATACTTCCAGGTAACATCCTGTTTAATCTCTGTGGTCCAGCAAGGTAGATGTGCTCCTGCACAGCCCAGTCGTGCACTGGGGTTGTCTCACAGGCTCACCAAAAAGAGTTTTTGCTGCTCTTAGAGAGTGGTTCAACCTCTGTGGAGTGTATCCAAGGAAAGATTCCCAGATTTACATGGATTGTTATGAAATAGGAAGAGTAACCTAACAGAAGCAGGCCTTGCCTTACTTCAAGCTTCATTCAGTGTCAGGTGCATGGGAGGAGTACTTTGTATTTGTGCTTAGTATAACGCACAGTTCTTCCTAGTCTTGATGAGGAATAGCTGAAGTACTTCTAGCTGAAGTTTTTAGACAAAAAACAGCTTAAGACAAAGATTTGGCTTAGAAAACTTCCACCTAGATAGCAAAGATATAACAAAGCTGAAAAGCAGATGACAGACAGGTAGATTGGGTGTGCTTACACCTGGTGATGGGTGCCATCTGCTCTAAGTTACTGCTGTCAGAAGGCTAGATTTTGCTGCTGGAATTGTAGGGAACAATCCCTGTTCTCTAAGCTTTAGGTTCAGAAGGAAAACCACTTCTGCTGCAGCCCTTTGTAGAATTAATGCTGATTTTTCTAGGCACCCTTCCTAGTTTAAAAAGGGCTATTGTGTCACACTGAGGACCAAGATTCCTGACAAGACCTATTTCTGTAAGCTTTTACTGTAGCACTGGCTCTCCTCTAAATGATGCTCAGCTCCCTTGTGTTGGTTCCCTCCTCCTAGCTGTAATCACTCCAAGCTTATCAACAGGCCTCTCTTAAACGGTCAAGCAGGTGGTGGTAAGGGGCTGGATTGGAGAGATGCACCCATTTAAAGCTTGACTTCACTCTAGTGACAGTGTTAACAAGTACCTAGCTGCTAAGAAATCCTGATACCCTGCAGTTACCATTGAGAACCGAAGGTTTGCATTAAATAAAGGGATTTTGAAAGCTTTGTAAAGAGTGGAGATTGTGGTTAGAAAATTGAAACATGCCACTTGTTGCACTTTAGAGCCATGCTCTGCCACTTCCAATTGTGCACCTTGTCTGGACCTCTAGGGCTGCCTGTGACCCATCTTTCCTTATGCCTTGCTGTGGGCTCTGGTGTTTAGGTGCCTCAAAAGCTTCCGTTGTAGAAGAATTTCAGCTCTGATGCCCCAAATGCTGGATCCAGAAGCTCCATCTGATGCAATGAGAAAGTAAGCAGTGACCTGTCCCAGCCCAGCCTGCCAGGGAAGCAAGGCTGGATAAAAGCAGATGAGTGCGAGCCTGATGGGAGGGACGAGTCAGAGAAAGCAGTTTGCTGCCTTTAGCTTGCTGTATCTTTCATCAGAGCTGGCTGAGGAGGGGGAGGCAGAGAACTGCTTGTGTGAAGGGAAGGAAGTGACAGCATAGTCATTAGCAGACTGCGACCCTCTGTCACAAGGGCACCCGAAATAAACGATGATTGCATTGAAGCATGAGGCTGGATAGAGACCTCTGTGCTAATTTAATAAATTGCTTGCATTTAGAACTCCAGATTGTTGCAATTCCATTTTTGCTATGTGATGCCACCTGGGATTAACGAGGAGGAGGGGATTGGAGGGGGGAGAAGCAGCAAGCAGCCCAGGTCCGTTAGCAACCGCTGGTGTGACCTCACTCCCTGTCCCCGGGGGGATATGAGATCATGAGCATGCCAGAGCCCTCTGAAGGATTCGATTTGCTCCGTGCAGCAGGATGGCCTGAGGAGTGAGCTCATCCCTGAGCCCCTGGGGAAGGGCGCTCGCTGCTGCTCAGGGGCTGCACAGGACTTAATCCCCACTCCAAATGTCCCCAGTTAACAACTGCCCTGTGATGACATCACTGATGACAACACTGCCTGGGAGAGCACAGCGGGATTCAGGGGAATTTCCCCTGTTCCTTCAGCTTGAAGAAAAGGGTTTGGACATGTCAAAACCAAATCTTTCAGTCCAGATAACATCACTGCAGGTTAAGCCCAGTTCTGCCCTGACCCAGGGCCCTGTCACCGGTTCTCCCTTTTAAACAGTGTGGGACAGAACAGAAAGGGTCCTCATTAAGACTGAGGGAGAGATAGGGGGTTGGAGTGGGTTTAAATTAGAGCCATACTTAGCCAGCTTTCCTAATCTTATTTATGTGGTAAGAAAAAGCCATTTCAGTTGCTGCACCTCATGGCTGTGTAAGCCAGGAGGGAGTTTGTTACCCTGCAGGTATCCTTCAAGGAAGGAAAGCTTTCTAGCTGGAGTAAACACCAGAATGGAAAGGACAGCTTTGGTGAAGGTTTACAAAGGATGGCACCCATTCTTTGAGTCTCTTTTGAGAGAGAAGTGTTTCAACTTTCCCCACTCCTCCCCTTTTCTTCCTTAAGGCCCTCAGGAAGGTTTGTTATCTTTGAGTTTAAAATGTCTTGAGGGTTTGTGTGTTTGGCTTTTCTTTCAGCACCAGTCTTTTTATCTGTGTACTGTACAATAGACAGGAGCCAACACACACACCTGGGTGGAAGGGGAAGGATGCTGGCAAATAATGAATTTTATTCTTTGGGATGATCTAGAAAGTTGTCAGGAAGACCAGTGTCACCTTCCATTTAATCCCTGTCCCTTCAGAAGGGGTACAGGATCAGACACCTACCTTGCATTCCTTTTCTCGTCATTAACAGTATCTACAACTTATACCATATTAATTCCTGCAAGTCTTAACCCCTGCTTTTAGCATTGTCCAGATAGGCAATAAGGTTTATATCCATAACTTGCTCTAAGAGTTTAAGACACAAGAGTGTAGAGTAGCTGGGTAATTGACAGAGCAAGAGGAACACTATGAAACAATGAAGTGAATTATCCTTTCTACACTCCAAGTTAAATGGGTGCAAAGAAAGCTGGTCATGAATACTGGTCTCTGCACCCTTTAGCAGTGTGTAGGCGGACATTGAACACAAGCCCTATGTCAACTAAGTGCTATTGTTTTGCCTTCCTGATAGTAATGATGTGTCCCTTGTTTGGTTGGGTTTTACAGGGGAAGTTCTACCTGATTATTGAGGAGCTAAGCCAGCTCTTCCGCTCCCTTGTCCCCATCCAGCTATGGTATAAATACATCATGGGAGATGATCCATCCAGCAGCTACTTCCTTGGTGGTATCCTGATTATCCTGTACAGCCTCTGCAAGGTAAGTACCACCTCCCTGATAACCTCTATAGGAGCTATAGCAAGAACACAGAGAGAAGCACAGCTGAGGGGAACAAATACACCTCTTGGTTGTTGCTAGCACTATGCAGAAAGGGAAGCTGCAGCAGATGGGGACACCATGTGCTTTAGTTGCCAAAAGCCTTGTGCTTCACCAGTATGTGGGCATTGATGAGCTAGAGGAAAATCTGTGAGTGCTCATGTAGCATTGCATCAGGCTTATGAGGTCATTGCTGCTTTCTAATACCTTTCTATAAAAGCTAGAAGAGAATGGGAGTGGAGTTTTGGGGACCAGGACTGGAAGAGATTTTAACTCTCACTAAATTTCTAGATGCAACACCAGAAGGAAGGTGGCAGACAGTTAAATGTTTCTCTCAAAGCCTTCCTCTGCATTTCAAGGCAGAGTAGGTACTCTGTTACTCATAATACTCAATGGAGCAGGGAGAGAAAGAGTCATCCAAGTCCTGCTGAAGTAAATCAGGTAGTTCTGGCCCCATTCTAGCTCCTGGTCTGGTTGGTAAAAGTCCAGGATCTCAGCAATGGACAAGATTAGTGTTTCCTCACAAGCATTAAGAGCACAAAGTCTGCCTGTACAATTGCAAACTAATAGGTGTGACTTACTTAGAGTCCCAAGTCTGAAGTCTAGAAATAGCTGTATTCCTAATTGTGTGCATTGAACCCTGCCTAGGGGCAGAGCAGTAGCTGAATAAGGATATATATCTGTGTTGTCCATCCCTCTGAGAAAGGCCAAGTGAGTCAAGCTTGCTGCAGCCCTGATACTTCTCTGTGCGTAGGAGAAAGGGACTATGGCTTTGCAGAAGCAGACTGAACAGAGAAGAGATAATATATCTGAGCTGAAAACAGCTCAAAGGGGCTAATGGATTGCTGAGTCATAACTAAACCATAAAACATATCTTACGCAAGATGTGCCTGCAGTTGCAGCTATATGTTGTATAGGAATGGAGCAATGCTACTCCTTCTGCCAAGAAACATACATTTTTTGCAAGCAAGATAAGCAGAAGAGGTTGTGAGAAGTGATTTGGTCACAGCAGGCCTGTGATCAAGCCAGAAGCAGAGTAAACTATACCAGAACAGAAAGAACCTGGGACCAGTGGAATTCCCTGCACACCCATCCATTCTCTCAGCTATGTATTTCCTGCTCTTCACTCTGTGCTGTTGGAGATGATTCTTGCCTCTTTCAGAGATGTCATTGCCTGACTCCATTCTGGACAACATCCAACCCTTCCAACTTGTGAGGTCAGGTACACACATCACAATTACAGAGAGAGATCTGGTGTCCCTTCTTGCAAGAGTTACTCAGCACCTGGAAAAGGGATGCTTACTTGCAGTTCTGCATGCCAGCTCTTCAGGTGGTAAGGCAGGTCCAAGATAAGGCCTGAACATCAATCGACAGGTCAGGATCAGGTCTGATGAAGGCAGCCAGGATAAGACACAGTCAAAAATCACAGGGCACAGCCCTAGTTATGAGACAGGCTCAAGGTGAGGGTACGAAGTCACTCCACATGCTGGGGTGTCCAGATCAATGGTATTTATATCTAGGCACAGGTATGGCTATAGCTGAACTGGAAACCAGCACTTACATAGCACAGCTCAGACCTAACTACTGCCTCCAGGCTGAGCTTAAATAGGGCTCCTGCCCCCATGGCAGGGATTGTGGGTGGGCACCCAGGTGAGGCTTGTCAGGGCCATGCAGGGCTATTAATGCACTCAGGGCCCTGACACACGGGTGCAAGCAGTTCTTTGTGGTTTAACTTGGTGTTTCTGTGCTATGAAGCCTTTATAGGTAGTTTTGTGATGATCTAGATTGGAAAAGCAACCCCATTTTGGAAAGTTTTGCTGATCAGTTGTTTAGAAGAGGAGAGGGCAGCTATTTACCAGCCTTGGCTATACCTTAGGCCAGGACTTAGATGCACACTTTGTGAAGTGCTTTGGCTACAGCCTGTGCCTTTAACATTTGTTTTTTTCCTTTAATTCATCTAGTTCATCAAAGATATACATGGAGGCATAGGCCAGCTGAAGGGTGATAGGTCCAGGGACATGTCCCAGGTCATTATGTGGCAACTGCTGAGTACCACACGTGTCCAGGTTAGGAGTAGACCTCTGCACACGAGACACTTTGCTTGGAAGTGGAAGAAAAGCGGGAGCACGCTTCCCATACAGATCATGAAACGTTAGGTGTGTGCATCCCATTTACAATCACAGGAGTTGCTGGTCTAATTCTTTGTCTGAGACACGGAAAATATACCCAAAGGAGTCCACATTAGCAAAGCCACAAACCACATTAGAAAAACCACAGAAGCCAATTTGGCACTCAGCGCTCCTGTGCTGCTGGCAGAAATCCAGGGCTCAGCATCCC